ATTCTTTGCAGATATGAATAAATTGGCACCACTGCATGATGTCATTCCAGGCGGTAACTGCGTTATGAACCCAGCCACATGAATTTGATTCACTGCCACGGCTAACATCGCTGGCGAGTGACATTTGAAGCGGCGCTGAATCCTACCCCCACCCTTTACCAACCTGCACTGTCCAGCGTGGTGAAATATGGCCAAACAACTCCCATGACTGACACAGCACGCATGGGGAGGCCTTCATCCAGCAGTGGATTGGCAAAGGGTTTGGTGGCAGAGCAAGGTTGGTATGGGCCCTGTTAGAATGATTGACATGGGGTCCACTTCTCAATCAACCCACGCACCCCCCCCGCCCCGTTTTGCAGCCCGGGATCTGAGCCCCCCCCCCCCCTCTGGCCCATGGGCTCCAGCGCAGTTGCACCGCCTGCACACGCGACAGTTACACTCAGTGCCGGATTGATGCAGGGGCTTTAGAGGCTGCAGGCTGCGGCCTCGGATTTTGGGGGGTACCCCTCTCCAAACATAAAAAATTGTAGAGCGTTACACTGATTCTAGATTTGAAGCTTTCGTGACTGCAAGGATTCATATTCTTAGGTTTTTTCGGTAAAGTCAAGTAGGTATAACATCAAAATTAATAAAAATAAAATAAAATAAAGATCACGACGTTTCGGAGGCAACACAAGTCTCCGTCATCAGGTGGGACCGTCACAGCCAGATTAGCTGCATCAAGTGAGGCAATGATTCAAGATGTAATCCCTTAAAAGCGAGTTGAGGGGGGGAGGAGCGTTACACTGGTTAAAATATAATACAGGAGCGCTGTGAAGCATCCTAATGGTGAGTACTTAATTAAAGCCAAAGCATCACTTTGTGTATTACGACCAGTTATGCACCGAAATTAAAATATATTCGTCAGTGTGGACGTTAATTTGGCCTTACAATTCAAATCATGACATTTAAAGACCAAAAATGAAATAACCACGGCGCACAACAATGGAGTGTTTTGTCCTCGGGCACGAGTGGTGGTGAAACAGCAAAGGGGAAGAAGTGATTGAACATCCAGAGAGGGCCCCCCCCACTTCCACCAAACTTACATAACAGTCCCCGGGCCTCCACCAAATCTAATCTGGGCACGCCTACGTCCACCGAAAAGGTCGTGTATTTTAAGGCGTGAATTTACCTGGCCCCCGTGTCTCCTGGCCACCCTGAGCGGTGGCTCAAAATCCAAATTCCAGCTTGATATGAAGGCCACGCGAGACCCAACACCCCGCGTGTGTTACAGTGCTCGTGTGAGTCTGGCAGCGGGGAGCGGTGGTGTAGCGGTTAGCGCGCTGCGCTACGAACCTGGCGACCAGGGTTCGATTCCCGCTCACGGCCAACACCGGTGACGATTATCTGAACCGGTCCTGGGCCTCCCCTAGGTCGACTCGGCCTGAAATGAGTACCTGGTGCGGTGTGTAAACATCGCCACTGGGGAGACAAAGGCGGTCGGGCGTGGTGCTTGCCACCGAACTCCTCGTGTACCGTTCCGGCCTTCATAGGTGCTCGCTAACAGCACTTGCCCCTACGGTCTGTTAAGGCTATACGGGGGATCTTTGTCTTTGTGTGAGTCTGGCACGAGGCGTCAGGGTAATGGGACTCGACCACTTAACGCTGCCAACCGCCTTTCTGCCTGTAAAAGGGACCCTTCCTCGCTCACATCCACGGGTAATCTTGGCGGTCCTTTGGATGCGCTGTCGTCGTGTACGAGGCGGCGAGTAACGGAGGCGGCCTCGAGAAGGTCTGCAGCAGGAGGAGAGTTTTTTTGGAAGGCTGAAATTGTCAATGAAGAGTCACACACGCCACTGTAGCCAAATATAGTTTTGAATCGGTGTGTAAGACGGAGGAGGTCGTGGGCTCGATCTCGACCCTGGCGCCTGTGTAATTGCATGAGTCTATACATGTCTCTATTCCCGTGGTCATGTGGATTTTTCTCCGGTTCCTCCGGTTTTCCCCTCCACATTTAGACAAATGCATTGAGAGTATTTGGCTGACATATATGTCCACGTGATAAGCCACTCTGTTGAGCTTTCTGAAAAAAGAGATATAGCTTAGTGGGCCTTAACTGGTAAAATAAAAAATGGTTTAGTTTTAGTTGTAGTTTAATTCTCCCATAGCCTCCTCCACGAAGGCATGCATGTTCCATTGGCATGTCATCGTTACCCGTGTCCCATCCATGGCATCATGGCTTCGGATGCCATAGCTGTTACCAAGTTTCCAAAACAGCTTCTTGAAGGTGACTCATGCACTAAATAAACAAGCGCCTGGGGCATTTGCATAGCTCATTAGGCCTTGCCTGGTAAAATAAAATAAACTTCTGCATGTCAGTTGATCTTCTGTACGTATGTGGAACTTCTGTATGTATGTCGAACGTATGTTGTTGAGCCTCTTTTGCACCGTACGTAACCGACCGTGCTAATTGGAGGTGCGGGGGAAGTACAAGAAACTAAACAACGTTCTCAATAAATTATTTTTCAATATTAATTATTTAAAAGTGCATAGCTCAAGTAGCTTCTTAAAATCGGAAGGAAGAGCGTTCCAGACGGCCGCAGAAGCACATTTGAAAGCGTGCGACGCGGTAAATAGTGTGCCTGTTAAGCATCAGTAATATTGTGCCCTTCTCCTCTAACCCAGCTTAAAAATACGCTGCCAAGCTTGGTGGTGTTCATTCCGACGCTGTCTTTCCGACAGCCCTGTTATTCACCTGAGGACGGCTGCTTGCGTTGTGGCCGAAACGTCGTGAGAATTGTATTTTATTACGTTATATTTTTATTATTTTATTATTTCCCTTCTACGTGACTTTACCGAAAGAACCAAGAAGATGAATCCCTGCAGTCACGAAAGGTTTAAATCGAAGATTATGAAAATAATTCAGCTTTCTGTGACGACCCTGTTGTTATGCTCGACCAGAGCATTGACATATCGATTATTGGCCACTTTCCCAATCACCCGATAATGTAAACAGCTTTATGGGCCACTGCATAATATTTGCGGTTTATTATCATCAACATGTCATCACTCTTTTCCGTGCATAGTTTTGAAAACATATTTACGATAGAACGCATCGTTCTTATGTGCTGTATAGTTAAACGTGCTCACACATTCTCAATATTGACTCTATACACACGCGTTTTAGGATACTTGTCTTATGTTTCAAGGTCTCTTATATTAAAATAACTCTCAATAGTGCAGAGAAACCGGTGAAATATTCGGTTAACTGACCGAAGATCAAATTGCCCTCAATGTATCCATTCCCATTATATCCCAGAAGTTAAGCCAAATTGAGCTCGGTTCGTAATTAGATTTCACATCTGCGTGAATGAGGGACTGAATGTCTAAAATGTGACGTGGTCAAGAGATGGCAGTACGTTCACGGATTCCTGAATCTATCTGTGCGGTGCTTTGAGTGTTACCCGATTGTGTGTGTGTGAGAGTTTTCACAGGGTACGCCAGTTTCTCTCTAATGCGAAACCAAAGACTCGTTAATTAATTGGCCAAAAATCCCATTGTGTGGTCCTCCTGATGAACAGTCATGGGCCTCTGTGACACTTTGCTCGATAAATACGTGACAGTACATTATTGTTAAAATAGTAAAAAAAAAATTAAAAGCCCATCGTTGATCCACTGCTGGATGAAGGTTTCTCCGAAAAGTGTCAGTCATGGGGGGGGGGTTGTTTTTATGTATGTTGAACTTCTTTCGCACCGTACGTAGCCAAACGTGCTAATCGGAGGTGCGGCGGGGGGTAAGGACAACAAATGTTGGCCATACTTCACCACAAAGGTGAGTTGGTGCAGTGGCTGACCGGGACCGGTTTTGATATCACATGCCACTGATGCTAAGCCACGACCAGCGATCGAACTCAGGTTTGGTACGGGTTCAAGACCGGGCTTCAAAATGATTGTGAATATATGGTCATTATTAGTAATGTTATTTTGTAATGTTGACTTCATTCCTTGCGCAAAACTCAGTTTGACTTGTAAGAGAGAATGGCCATTTGACGTATTGCTCTGTCAATATGAATATTGCGGTATTTATTAAACCATACTATACATACATCTCGTAGAGCCGTTCACAAAAGTACTTACACTTCACATTCATGTCAAATACTACACAGATTGTTATTATTCGCCTACTATAATATGTATTCATAGATGTATTGAGGACTGTACTGTCAATTGACCATATATGCCAATTGTACGCTCCCCTACATCCTGTTTACTTGACTCGGCTCTGCCTTGAAAACAATACACCCAGTCATTATTCTAAATCGCCTGCTTTTAAATGACAACGGACTGTAGGTAACCTTTGTAAATAAAGGCTATGATTAATTCATTAATTTAATACCCTTTCCTAAAAAAAAAAATATAAAGAATCTTTACAAGATACGATTAGGCTTGTTATGTAAAGGATGTGATTCATTCATTAATTCATTTGTGGAATATTGTTTGCTTAAATCAATGACCCGTCTGTACAACGTGCTCTCTCGTACGGCTAAATGAAGGATATTATGAATCAAATAATAATAATTCGTTCTTTAAATGTTTTAGAAAAATAATTACCTATCTGTTACAACGAGCTTTCTCTCGTATGACTAAATAAAGTACTGCATATAATACATTAATTCATTCGTTTATTTTCAATTCAAAAACGTTTCCTGGTCCGTACAACGGCGTCTTTTCAGCCTCGTTAAATCAAGCACGTGAGTCATTCCTGCACGAATTCATGCATTCATTCAGCTCACGGAACGAACCAAAACCCCTCCCACCCACGCACACGCACGCGGCCTCGGCAGCCAATGGCGTTCCATCGCGGGCCAACGCCTCCGCGCGCACAACAACAAACGCGACCTCCCATTGGTCGGCGCCGCTCTAAAGCACCAGCGTTCTCGACCAATGGGAGGGGAGGTGTGCGGGGGTGGGGCGGGACTTCCCGGAGGGGTCCCCGGGGGTAGCGGCAGCGCCCGCTCATTACGAGACGCGAGGCTCCGTGCGAGGTCGCTCCACGCCGCCGTCGTCACCACCGCCACTACCGCCGCCACCGCCCAGCCGGGCTGTCAAAGGCAGCCACGACGCTGGTCTTCCGCCTCTCCGCCTCTCCTCCTCTCCTCCTCCTCCGCTCCGAACTCAACTCGGCCGTTGATTTTGTGTGTGTGTGTGGTTTGCGTTGTAATTCACGCGGCCGGTAGCGATGCGGCACCTCGGCAAGCTGTGGCGGAGCGCCACGGGGCTGCTGCTTCTTCAGCCGCCGGCGAGCGGAGGAGTCCAAGCGACGGCCTCTGTCCGGGTGAGCGGCGCCGCGTGCCCGACTCGCTGTGCCGGTGCCCCCCCCCCCCCTTGTCGGTGCCCCCCCCCTTGCCGCCCCCCCCTTGCCGCCCCCCCCTTGCCGTTGCCCCCCCCTTGCCGCCCCCCCCCCTTGCCGTTGCCCCCCCCCCTTGCCGTTGCCCCCCCCCCCCTTGCCGACCTCCCCCCCCCCTTGCCGACCTCCCCCCCCCCCCCTTGCCGACCTCCCCCCCCCCCCCTTGCCGACCTCCCCCCCCCTTGCCGACCTCCCCCCCCCTTGCCGACCTCCCCCCCCCCCCCTTGCCGACCTCCCCCCCCCCCCCTTGCCGACCTCCCCCCCCCCCTTTGCCGACCTCCTCCCCCCCCCTTGCCCCCCCTCGCCACCCCCCCTTGCCCCCCCCTCGCCACCCCCCCCCTTGCTCCCCCCCCCTTGCTGCCCCCCCTTACCCCCCCCCCTTTGCCGCCCCCCCCCCTGCTGCCCCCCCCTTTCCGGCCTCGTTGCGCCCGGCACCCCCAGGCGTACCGCGGGTTTCCCGGTCTCTTGTCTGTCGCGCCTGCCCGGCCCTGCCCGCGTGTTAGCGCGCCTCTCTCTCTCTCCGGTGATCTCGTCTCCGTCGCCTAACTCGGCTGTCTCTCTTGCCCACCTGTGTGCCGTCTGCCGTGACCTCCTGCCGTCGGCGAACACTGCACGTGGTGGCCTCCAGGTGCACCTAGCCTGGCACAGACGCCGTGTCCACGTCCACGTCGCCGTCACTTTGTGGCGAATGGCGGCAATTGTTTTATGCCTTTTATCTGTCGACCAACGTTGTTACTTTCCTATCCACCAACTTATGAACGTATCTATGACCCCCCCTACCCCTACTTACATACCCACATCTACTTCCAAACCCACATACTCAAATACCAACCACATATCCCGCTAACTACCTGTTCACCTGTCCGCATACCAGCCAGTCAACCTGCTTGCTTACCTGCCTAAAGACATAGCCACTCATTGATCCACCTACCCACGCGCTCACCTACCCACCTACCCACGCGCCCACCTACCCACCCACCTGCCCACCTACCCACGCGCCCACCTACCCACCCACGCGCCTACCTACCCACCCACCCACCTACCCACCTACCCACGCGCCCACCTACCCACCCACCTACCCACGCGCCCACCTACCCACCCACCTGCCCACGCGCCCACCTACCCACCCACCTACCCACGCGCCCACCTACCCACCCACCTGCCCACGCGCTCACCTACCCACCCACCTACCCACGCGCCCACCTACCCACCCACCTACCCACGCGCTCACCTACCCACCCACCTGCCCACGCGCTCACCTACCCACCCACCTACCCACGTGCCCACCTACCCACACCCACCCACCTGCATACTCAATTCACCCACCTACCTCCACGTCCCCAACTACAGTACCTAGTCATGTTCCTATCTGTTGGTATAACAATATATCCGCCCACACAATAATTTCCCTACTACCCACATTCCCTACTACCCACATACCTGCTCACTTACCTACCCATATTACGGGCGTCCCTACCTACTAATTTATCCACGAGTTGCTAAATTGGAATACCCACGTACGTGCATATCTACCTACCAATCTGCCTACCTATTTGCATACCCACCTGTCTACCTATACAGACACCTACTAACCACACATCCCACATACCTACCAGCCTACCTTCCTACCCACATACCCACCAAATCGGTAAAGACGTTATCTGGTGATTCCCTACTGCTTTGGCGGTGGTGCACAAGCACCAGTGACGTATACAATCGGCGACGTTTCGGGCAACGGCCCTGCTTCACAGGACAACCCAATCATGCTCATCGCCATCGTCATCATATGGCCATGATCTTATCCACTGCTGGATGAAGTCCTTGCCAATACTGAACCACGCGTGGGCTGGGGGGTGGGGTGGTGTTCCAGCTACTTGGTGTGGCCTCTGATTGTTCCTGTGTTGTGATGTGACAGGGGTCGCATGTGACAACGTTGGGACTTGACGTGGGACGGCTTGGGCCGTGGTGCGAGCGTGTTGTGTGGTTTGCAGAACTATCTCGGAGCCGATTCCGACGTTTCATTTCACAGCCGTGGGGTGCCATCGATCTGCCGCAACCTTAGTCGATGGGGGCTGGTGGCCGGTGCGGTGGGAGTTCGGGGTGCCAGTCGGCTTGGCAGCTGCGTCCGAGCCAGTGGTATAAATGCGGTCTGGACTGAAGGGTGCTTTTAAAATGTAATAATTGTGTTAACAAATCAAATTAATCTTCTTGGTTCTTTCGGTAAAGTCATCAGACGCTGTCGCCTCGACAGACCTGGTTTTCACCTGAGGACGGCTGCTTGCGTTGTGGGCGAAACGTCGTGAGGATTATTTTATTTTATTATGTTTTATTTTTATTATTTTATTACTTCCCTTCTACGTGACTTTACCGAAAGAACCAAGAAGACGAATCCCTGCAGTCACGAAAGCTTTAAATCGAAATTTAAATCAAATTAACTCAAAACTCGTTTGTCACTCCACTGACGGGTTGGGAGGGGTTTCCTCCCTACCCACGATTGTTGCGGGTCTTGAGGGTTATTTAACGTTTTTTTTTTACCATACTTCACCACCCTGGTCACTGTCGGCCCACGATCATGTTTATTGATTTCGTCCACAATGAAGCATTGTCTGGTGTCGTAATTGGGGAAAAGAAGTCAAAGTGATTTCCTGCTTATCTCCTCGTTTTACAGCCCTGAGCCATTGGTGGAAATTCCACATTCCTATGGCAGGCGTGAGTTTATCCTTAGGACAACCACTGTTGACTCCCCCCCCCCCCCCCCCAACGTGGTACTGATTTTATCTACCCTGGAGGGATGATGGGCTGAGTCAATTCCCAACCAGGAATGGTAGTCGCCCATCCAAACACTGTTCAGGGTCAAGCTTTCTTAACCTCTGAGATATGACTGGATGGATTGCATTCTGGGTTATTTGGTTATGGGCAGATTCCGTACACATCGCAGTGTTAACGTGTGTTCATTTGCACGTGTGCTGTTAAGGTATTCGCGCGTAGAATGTATCTCCCAAATCAGTCCTGAGAAAAGGAATTAGCCAAACATTCCAGTGCGGTGAGGATTTCGAGAGCCAATAGGTTAATCGTACTGCAAACTGTTAAAAACAGTATGCAGTGCCATTAACATATCACACTGCATATTTAACCCGTTTATTCACAGCAATGTAATTATAACCCGAATGTGAAATTAACTAATTTACTGTTAAGTCGCTTAAATATATATAATTTATTGTTAATGGCATTGCTGACAGCTTTAGCATTTCGAATTTGGCCAAAACTGAGCAGGTGGGGATAAAGATAAGGGCGGATTGATATGATCCCTTGTATAACGAGTAGTCTTACATAAGGCTGCGTTACATAACACCGTCAAACGTGTAAGCGGCGTATGAAGTTGTTTAGTATATCCACGTGCGACGAGCCTGTTCATGAAACTTGTTATGCTGTGTTATTACATCTTCACGGGTGACACAATCCACAATTGTCGCAAGCAAAGAGGATGCACGAAGGGCACGATTGTTAACATTGCACTGAAATCCTCACTGCATGGATTTTTTACGCTCATGATCCGAGTACAAGGTGGATACAAGGACACGTGATCTAAGCATGTTTCAGATAGAGGCACACGGGGTCCTTGCTACCAAAGGGATGGGGCCTGTTGTAGTCCACTTGTTACTGTGTGCAAGTTAAGTCGTGCGAGAGAATCGATAATTTTTTTTGCCTATGGGTGGTTGTGTGCAATGAGCTCACATGAATGCTGCAATGGACTGACAACGTGCTGTTATTAATGAATGATATAATAACCAGTTAAGAGAAAACAAAATGAATTTTGATTTAAAGCTTTCGTGACTGCAGGGATTCATATTCTTGGTTCTTTCGGTAAAGTCATGTAGAAGGGAAATAATAAAATAAGAAAAAGTATAGAACAATAAAATTCTCACGACGTTTCAAGGAAAACATTTCTTGCTGTGGATTTCACACCTGATGATGATTGCTTGTGTTGCAGTCGAAACGTCGTGAGAATTTTGTTGTTTTATATTTTTTATTATTTTTTCATTTCCTTTCTACGTGACTTTACCGAAAGAACCAAGAATATCGAAAAATAATGATTTACTGTGGAATATATGACCACACGACCGACACGGTACAGGGAGACCTTCATCCAGCAGTGGCTTAAAAATAGGCTTTGATTTATATTTAATTTATTTAACAAAAATTGACCAAATGTAAATTGACTCAATTGGTATAATAATTGATCGAAGCAGTGCACAGAGACACAGACGCTTCGGGACTGATGCGAACCCAGTGGCGAAGTGTGGTTGGAATGGGCCCTGGTCAGAATCAGAACCTTTATCCTGGATAAATCCGATGACCTATGAAAAAAAACGATCGGATTAGAACGTATAGGAAAGGAAAACAAATCACACAAAAATAAATATTAAAATAGATCAAGTATATAAGTTCCAATTGTAGCAAGCAAAGATGGTGCAAGGAATGAAACGGGGCCACCTTGCCTGTCCACTATCCCTTCCTCTTCACTGCTCACTCCCTGGGTCCCCGGTGCAGTAACACCGCCTGCACACTCGATAACTACGCCACTTGCGGTTGAATAATATAATGACCCGGACTGAACTGGACATTGCAGATGCCCTCAATTGAGCAGCACTGCGTCTCCGAAGCGCAGCGTTATGTAAAGGACAGGCTGACCCGAATCGTGTGCGGTAAGCTTACACAAGACGGACCGCTACTAAGCGCTCCGTGTACACGGCACGCTTGTGTTGTACGCTGGCAACGGGTTGCTATGGAGCAGCGGTGGCGTGGAGGTTCACACACTGCGCCGTGTTCCCGGCGACCTGAGTTCGACTCCTGGCGAGTGATATCCGAACCAGTCCTGCAACAGAATTGTGGCGGTGATGTCACACGCGATGCACCACTATCGAGCGTTGTGCATACGCGTGGTGTGATTGTATTGTACTGCGTGCTCGTAATGAGTAGCCGTGGAGGGAAGAAGAGGTTCCCGCATTGCGCGATGGACCCGGCGACCTGAGTTCGATTTCCGGCAATGGTGAACATGAGTGGCGAGTGATTTCTGAACCGGTCCTGCCTCCACCCTCCTCCGCCCACGTGACCAACCTGCACTGACACATGTGGTGAAGTGTGGTTCAAACAACCTACATGAAGACACTGTGTATGCATCCCTTAATCCAGCAGTGGCCGTAATGTATATTTACATCGGCTTGCTCGTTTTTACTTCTATAAGCTTGGATTGTGACATTTACCTGGTTCGCTGACGAAGGGAATCGTATTTTTGTTAAGGGGGCATCCATTTAGTACGTACGCATGGAGGGGGGAGGGGGGGTTAACCCCAACGCGTACGCTTGCGTATGGGGGGGTCTACTGACAATGTACGCATAGGAAACGGGGGGGGAGGGGTGAAGCCTCGATAATAATTTATCGACATTGGCCTCGAAATGATTTAGATAGTCCGGCGGTGGACTGTCTGTTTGCTTAAACACGTTAATATTATTAATCCTTGATCGTTTCTGCGTGGATTAAATATCGGCCGTTCTGTAGGATTTGGGGGGGCGGGTCAAGCGAACGTACGCAGGTGGGGGGTAAAAAGTACACGTGCGTACAGGGAGGTGGGGGGGAGCAGTCAGGTTTTGAGAGATTTTTGCGTGCTTACTAAATGGATTGCCCCTAAGTGCTAGCATGAGACCTGAAGCGGTTTAGAGCTTCAGGCTTGACGACCCTGCTGTAAGAGTGCAAACCATTCAACTTCCACTTTCTAAGTTGGAACCCGATAAAAAAAAAAAGTCCCATTCATTTATCGCCGATCGTTTGGGCAAAATGTAGCGGACGCCCTTAACTAGCAGTGTATTGACAAAAAAAAGGCTGGAGATGTACATGCGAGCGAGCGTAGACTGGAATTTTTGTGTCCAGGTGTAGTCTGTGTAACCCTTTAGAGTGGTGGTTCTCAAAGTGCGGTCCCAGGATCACCAGGGGGCCCGCGTCGCTTCCCTTTCCGCTCCTTCCCCCGCCGTGCTTCACACCTCCCATCCGCCACCTTTCCCCAAGCTCCTGCAATGAAAACCCTTCGCTCGATCCAAGGGATGTGTCGCACTCTTCACATTAGTTTTTTTACATTTTTTATATTGCCGCCGATTGCTGGCTGCTGACATTTTGGACCTATGGTCAGCAGCTGTGCTGTTGAAAATAAAAATAATTTTTTTAAAAACCATTTCGGAAGCAGCTTCCCACATCATTTTCATCATCGTAATCGACACAACCGCAATAGTTACATAAAATGGGAACTTAATTTCTTGGGTTTTCTCCACTGTTGACCATCTTTCACACCGTGCGTAGCCAACCATGCGCGTGGTAGGTGCTTACAACTGGAATGCAGCCAACAGAAACCTCGGGTTGGGGCGTTGACGCATTATTCATGCCTGTCCAGTGTCCCAAGGCATCGCTTGCCTTCGACGCGCTGACGCCAAGGCAAGGCGGTTTTGTGTCGTGACTTTAGGGCAGGGCTATTTACATGTGTGTGGGTCACGCACGAGTAATTGACCGCAGTAATAATTACTGGTGAGATTATTCCATTCATTATCGTCATCATCAGCGGCTATTATTTTCCTAAATGGGTCGACAATAAATAAAGTTGTTTTTTTTGCCTATCTTACACTTTTTTTTTATCCCATCTGTGTTTATGTATTTTGCTGATGACTCCTTCCTACGGGTTGGGGGTTAGCCCCCCCCCCCATCATATTTCTCCAGATAATTTACAGTTAATCTCTCTCGATGTGTGTCCGTGTTGTTTGGCATGAAGTCCAACGTTTCGCCCCCACGTGCTGGCATCTCGTTCAGGAACGTGCAGCGATTTGTCGAACAATCCCCGCACCTCCGATTAGCACGGTTGTCTACGTACAGCGCGAAAGAAGTTCAACATACAGTACACACACACCTCTCTCTTATGCTCCCTTCGGCAGCTCCGTCGCTGAACGATCGCGGCTCACCCCCCGCCCCCCCCTCTCTCCGTCCTGCAGTGCAAGACGCAGTCTGCCTCGTTCGGGCTGCTCTTCGACATCGACGGCGTCCTCGTGCGAGGCCGCACGCCGATCCCCGCGGCTCGCGACGCCTTCCGCAAGCTGCTGGACGCGAGCGGTGCGCTGCGCGTTCCCGTCGTGTTCGTCACCAACGCCGGCAACTGCCTGCGGCAGGCGAAGGCGGCGCAGCTCTCGGAAGTGCTGGGAGTGCCGGTGCGTTGCGTTGCGTGCGCTGTGGGTTGGTTGCCGCGGTGGCGAGTCGTTAACCCCTTTCCTGTTTCCGATATCGGAAGAAAAACTAAAATAACTTTATCGGAAGCTCCCGCAAGGCCCACGCGGCAGGGCGTGTGGCACAGTTTGTAGAGTGCGGTCGTGTCGCTACGGTTCCCTGTGGTTGAGTGCGATCTCTTTAAAAATAACGGTGATACGCCTCTCTAAATAAAATTAAGGCTAACCGCTTGCGCGTTTCGGGATTCAGCAGTGAACGGGGGCCACGCTGCAACTTGCGGTCGTCTCGGAACGGCAAAGGGTTTAACCACCTCACCTAGTATCCAGGAATTCGTGGGTTCGACACCGACCCTGATGACTGTATATTTGGAGTTGGCATGCTCTCTCTCCCCGTGGTCGTGTGGATTTTTGCTTTGGGTCCTCCGGTTTTACCCTCCACGTTTAGAATCACAATCAGAATCTTTACTTAGACTGCAGGAGGAATCCTATGAGCTGTGAAGCTCTTTTTCACACATGTCCAGTATCGGCGGGTGAGCAAGTTACAACGATGCGTTGAGAGTATTTTGCTGCTGTAAGTTTACATGTGATGAGCCACTTCGTCGGGCGATCATTTATGTTAGCCAGGTCTATGCAGCTCAGTGGACCATGCCAGGTAAAATAAAAATAGTTTAGTTTAGGTCGGTGGGTCATTCAGCTGGTCCGTCGTCCTGTCCGTCCATATGTCCGTCTGTCTTGCCCAGTGTTGTAAATGTGACGAGGCTGTTAGGTGCGAGGGAGGTGCCGGTAAGTCCATCGCTCGGTGGGTCGGTCGGTGTTGACCCTCCCCCCGCCCCCACCCCCGCCATTGTTAATGTGACGATGCATCGATTTAATATTGATTGAGTTTTGTGGTCAATCTTAATAACAACAACCGCATTTTTAGGTGACGTCACAATCGCGATTACGATATGAGTTGCACAGTCACCGTGGATCGTAGTCGCTGACGGTGTGGTACGCGTGCGTTTGTGTCGCGTGTGCAGATCTCCCAGGAGCAGGTGATGCTGTCGCACAGCCCCTTGCGAATGTTTGAGCAGTACCACCACAAGCACGTGCTCGTGTCCGGCCAGGGGCCCGTGGAAGACATCGCCAAGAAGTATCCTCCCTCTGACTTGATGTGTTGTTCTCCCTCTCCAACCCACACTCCCCCCCTCCTTACCCCTCTTTGTAGGGGAATATAATGTCCTACGATTGTGCATCTTGCCGGGTCTGTTGATTCTGAGTTGCAACATGAGTTCTAGATTTGAAGCTTTCATGACTGCAAGGATTCATACTCTTCTGTTTTTTCGGTAAAGTCACGTAGGTAAAAAATATAATAAAAAATAATAAAATTATAGAAATAAAAGAATTGAATTTTTTTATTTTATTTTATTTCTATTATTACTTTTATTAATTTTATTTTTTACCTCCGTGACTTTACCGAAAAAACCTAAGAGTTTGCAACATGAGTATTCGCTGCTGATTTTTTGCACAGCAGTGCCGTCAAAACTGGGCCGATCTTCCAAATCGTTAGTCCGAAGTCCCGCGGCAATTTAACAATGACAGCAGCGAGAAAATTCAGTGCAAAGATAACACGATTCGGATTTATACACGGAGTCTCGATGTTTCAAGAACGCCGCACAAGAAAAGTCGGCATATTTGTTTGGTCGAGAGAAAGGGGAAGTGAGTCATAGGCAGACGAAGAAATTAAGGAAGGCCTTGAGTCTGGACTTGAACAGAGACGAGGAGTCGACAGAACAGATGGCTGGGCGGTGGGGAAGAGAGTTCCAAACTTTTGGGGGCAGCAGAGGAGAAGGAGCGACCTCCCTCTGAGCGACGGGTTGACTGGGGGCTCGTTTACTGCGCCGCCGGTACATGTGCACAAAAGTGTTGGATGTGTGCTTTGGAGTATCAGGCAGAGTTCAGTACAGAACGCGTGTGCATTAGGAACGTATCGATACAGCCTCCGCGCAATTTTAGTAGATTTCCACAATTTGGGGGTCAGGGTGCCATTAACGGCAAGGGAAAATGAGCAGGTAAATTTCGGCTGATGATTGCTCCAAAACAGTGGTTGGAAAACAACAAACAGTGGGGCAATTTTGTATGAACAAAAAACAAAAAAAAGGGAACCAGTTTGAAAAGTAGCTGCGCAATTACCCTGCGTCCTTTTGCTTAAATATTTATTTTTAAATGAAGAAACACAATACACGTGATGAAAATCAACAGAGAAGTGTCAAAAGACGAAAGGGTTTATCAATATATATCGATTACCTGCTGTGACATATGGATCGGAAACAATGACAGAGAAAATGTAACAAAAGCTGGAAAGTGCTCGGAGTAGCGGGGAGAGGTTTGTGCTTGCAAGGTTCGTGCTTGCAATATTTCCTCCATGAATGGAAAATCATGGACTCCACCAAACTGCAAATGCGGTGGGGTGCAACCCATCAGGCGTGTGTGAGTGACTGTCCAACACTACATGCATACTCTGGTTCTTTTTCTTCTTTTGTATGGCTAATCTGGATGCATAGCAACATCTTACAATCAGTAGCTCTCTCGCTATATTTCTTCCTGCCTCAGCAGTCCGCCTGCTGTATTTTTTCACCTGAAGACGATTGCTCGTGTTGCGATCGAAACGTCGTGATTTTATATTATTATTTTTCTATCTATGTGACTTTACTGAAAGACCCAAAGAGTGTGAATTCCTGCAGTCACGAAAGCTTTCAGTCAAGATTTAACTTACAATTTCACATTCGGGTGGTGAAGCCATCTCAGTGGGCCTGGTAACATCCAAATTGTTTACAGTTTAGTTTCGTGGCATCGTGAGAGACGTTGGATCATTGCAGAGGGCGACGGGTTGTTGGGAGGTCTTCGTCCAGCAGTGGATAGATCGTGGCCGATGCCGATGATAAACGGTGGCGGTGATGACATTTCAAAGATGCTGCACCCGTGTGGCCGAGTCGGCTGTCGGGGGCGCTTGCGTCGTGCATTAAGATGGGGAGCGGTGGGGCTTGACCGGCTCGCTGCCGTTGTGTTAAACCGGTCTGAGCCGGCCGACGCTTGCCGAGCCGCCCCCACGTGGGGGACCCAGCGCTGTGACCTTTAGTGGAGTGCCGTGGCTCCGGAGCGACGATCCTCCCTCTAACCGCTGTCGGTAGAGACTCGTCACTGGTTGTTCATTTCGTCGTCGTCGTCATTATCATCCCGATCCATGGGCAGATAGCCCATAAGTGTCTCCTGCAAATTGCGTCATTTGTCTCCACTTTCCTCTCTGTCTTGTGCCAATATGCTCAGGTAGTGCCACGTCTCTTAAGTCGTCAAGCCATTCTCTGTTGTTGATTTAGTTAAATGAAATCGGCGACAAAATGATTGTCAACTAAGCGTTTTTTTGGGGGGGCTTTTAATTTTGAAGTGGTGTGCGAATGCTGCGCTACGAAACTGGCGGCCAAAATTCTCTTGTGTCCCCGCTGAGAGACATATATCCAGAGTTGGGTAGATCACAGCTGATGGTTATGACCCCACCTCCCATTACCAACGGGTGACTGCGTACGCTGCGAAAGAAGTTCAACATAGGTGACGACAGCCAAACAGATCTGGTGCAACTGTGCGAGTGCCGAGCGAGCATCCGCATTGCTCCTGTAATTCTACATTCTTTCTGCTCGGCCTCCCTCTTGACAAGACACTCGTGCAATAGCCCTACACATACACACGTGGTGTACTGTGGCATACACCGGTGGTACAGTAAAATCGGAGTAGGATGGGGGGAGGGGTGGCGGTGTGGGTCAATTTGGCGGAGCCCCCCTATGGGACGCTACCTCTGACCCCACACAGAGGTGATGTCAGTTTTGAGTGAGAGGTCAGCCGGAGCGCAAGTGCGGACGCGGCGTAGGTCGCTATCCAGACGTGCGAGCCTGGACGGTCGGCCGAACGAGCGGGGGCGCGCGACGAGTTGTGCGCCTTCTTGGTTCTTTCGGTAAAGTCACGTAGAAGGGAAATAATAAAAATAAAACATAATAAAATTATTCTCACGACGTTTCGGCCACAACGCAAGCAGCCGTCCTCAGGTTCATTCAGACGCTGTCTTTCCGACAGACCTGTTCTTCACCTGAGGACGGCTGCTTGCGTTGTGGCCGAAACGTCGTGAGAATTATTTTATTATGTTTTATTTTTATTATTTTATTATTTCCCTTCTACGTGACTTTACCGAAAGAACCAAGAAGATGAATCCCTGCAGTCACGAAAGCTTTAAATCGAGAGCTGTGCGCCATCGACGTGCCCGATCACATCCTGACGATGCCATGGGATTCGGCCTCGGAGAATGCCAGTGTCGCATTTCTCACTGCAGGTGCAGCAATAGACTGCGCGAGTACAAAAGGTCCTGCCCCCCCCACCCGCCCCCTTCCCGCAGTCGCCGCACGTCGGCAGTTTAAAACGCTGCGGTCGCGCTCTGCCCTGCTGCGGCACGGCTTGTTCTATCTCGTCTTGCCCTGCCTCCGGTCAAACGCAGACAAATCGACGTGGAACGGTTATGTTTTGTTTGGGACGGCGAGTGCTGATGCCTCGCCTTTGGATTGTGATTTAAATTGTCACTGTTTGGGCAACGTTGCATGTTTCCTCGCCCGCCCCCGCCCCGATAAGACGCCGTTGCCCGCCTTAGCGCGTATACGAGGCAGGGTTATTCATGGACGTTTCTGGCATTGCTTGGTGAAATTTAATAGCACGTAAAGTTTTTTTTACTCCCGATTTAGCGGGGACCTTTTTCATTCCACGGTGACCCGTGCATTTGAATTGTGCGCTCTCTTAAACAACGTCTGCATCGTCTGCGTTATAGAACGCTGCCGCTGCGGATTTGCCGCCTTCCGTTACGGGTGAAAGCGCTGCCTTGCGCACGCAGCGCGATCGCCGTTCGCATCGGCGCAGCGTTACCGTGCGGTCCTTCCGATGCGTTTTCGTGTCCTACCGCGTGATGTTCGGCACGATGTTCAAACATTTCGCTCCGTGTGTGCGCGGTGGGAGGGGGGGGGGGGGGCAGCTTTTTGAGGAACTGAAATTCCACGTCGCAAGAAGTTCCCCAGCACGTGAAATGGAACGGAATTCGCATCCAGAATCAGAATATAAATTTAGTACTGGAGGAATGCGATGAGCTATAAAAGCTATTTTTCACTGATGTCCAGTAGTTCACAACACACGGGGGGGGGGGGGGAGGTAGCTAAACGTCGGACACCACGCTGAAAAAAAATCTGCGGCACAACTTTAAAACGCGCCGCTGGAGAAGCTGTGTGGCACATCTGTGGTAAAATTGTTACAGGTGTGGAGGTTTTTTTTCTTGCAAAAGAACAAACGAGTTTGGGGGGGATACAATTTCCATGCACAAGAGGACGGAGTACAAAAACCTGTGCACGCGTCCTGGGTCTCCCTTTGCACACGGGGGGGGGGTGGGGGGGTAATGCACGTTGGAGGGTTTTGACGTCTGGCTAAATATAATTGGATTGGGAAAAAAAATATGCGAGCGCGGACAGATGGTGGTGATGGTGACAAAACATAAACAGCTTTGCAGCTGCTACAATTACGATTCCAGTCGAGTGTGGATTTGTCACGTGTCTGATAACAGTTATAAAAATGTTGGACTTCTTTCCAGTTTGAGATTCCAATAATTAAAAGTATCAATGGCAAATACAAAACATGCACTTGCAAAACAGCTAAATGTCAAATGCTGTGGAGCAACTGAATATTTTTTGTATGTAGGCAGGTGGCGCATGGTGGCGTAAAGTGTGTTTAATCCCACCTGTTCCAAGTCGTCAGGCCAGTGTGGAAGAGTAGGCCAAGATAACCTCTGTAGAGGGGCACTCTAACGCGCCCTGCCAGTTGGATGCCCTTCCGCCAGCAGCGGCGTGAACTGTAAACATTTGCAAGTGAAAAATATTAAAACAAATTGATAATGGGAGCAAGATCAAGACTTGAGTGAGGTCGAAGGCAGTGGATCAACAGTTTTTACATTCACATTGTCCCAGCGATTAATCAAGTTCACCCCGTTAAACCGAGTGGGAGGCAAGAGTGATTGACTGTAAGCGCCATGGTGGCGAGATGTTAACTACATCGCCTGGTGTGCAGGGTGTGTCGTGGGTTTGATCCCAACCCTCACACCTGTGCAATTGAAGTTTGTCTCTCCAGGTCCACCGTTTTTTTTCCTCCACAATTAGAATCGACGTGCGTTTGGAGTATTTGGCCGCTCGCAATTTCCATGCGATAAGCCACTTCGTTGAGCGATAATTTTCTGGCTGGGTCGCTAAAAAAGTTTGAGTTTAAATGTATCGTTTTAGAAGAATGCCATTCCGTTCCAGGTTCACTGAGCATCGCGGATGAACTCGCACCCGCCCGAGTCTCGCGTGAACTCTTCGGCGCACGATGCAGGGACTTGAAGGCTCCTCGTAATCTAGGTTTTGGATCGGGGAATTAGTCAGTACAAGCAAGCCAGATGAACTCGCCGTTTGTGTGGTTAATGCTTCGGGGACAAACCGAATCGTTGCAAGTCCCTCACGAGTGCCAGTTTGGCTGTTAAAGGGCACAATGCGGAATTGGTGTGGTAAGTCTCACCCAGTCTCGAAGGTCCTTTTCAGGAGGGCCTTGCGTTGGGGATGTTTGACAAATTCTGTTAATGAGTGTGGGGCGCCATGTGGGACTTGAGGAGGCCTTCATCCAGCAGTGGATTAATTGTGGCCGATATTATTATGAGGAAATGATAACCACATGTTTGGACAGGTCGATTCAACCCATTGCTGTGACCGTCATCTCCTGGCCAATTCACATTATCTCAAGAAAATGCAAAGTTGATAATTGTTTTTTTACCCTTCTATCTGGCAACAAAACTGACACCTTTTTTACAAGGAGTCATGTTTGCATAGACCACAATACCTGCAGTCATAATGCAAACAAAAAACATAACTTTGATAATATATGCACTGTCCTTGAAGTTGATTGGTCCACACCCGAGACAGCTTTCCTTAGAGCCTAGTCTCACATGGGTTGGACCAGATGACGACAAAAGGCTTGCCAGATAGAAGGGTAAAAAAACAATTATCGTATTTTTTACTGGAAAATGAGGTTCCAATGGTGAAAATGCAGAGTTGATACAATAATGGAAAATATGAACACAGAAACCCGAATCGGATGTTGGTCATAAATCCAAAGTTGAAAACATAAGAAAATTCCCATCTTCACTCGTGGCTTTTGTTGGTAAATATAAAATGTTTTATGGTCACAGTTATACACGAGTAATACATTCCACTAATGTTAATACGGTGCAAGATGTCAAATTGAAAGAAAAAAAACATTAAACGAGATCATTTCAAGGTGTCATCATCGGCCATGGTCAATCCACTGCTGATTGAGTAAATCGACTGCAAATAAATGATCGCGATGATTGTTTCATGAAGAAAATGATCTGCTTACATGTAAAAGGTTCACGATACAAGTAGGGAGGCTGGGAATGTGAAAACTCCTGATAACATATTGGGACACACGTAGCAGCAGCCAGCTGTCATCTGTCCACTGCTGAATGAATGCTTCCCCAAAGTTATAGCCATCTCGCAGGGTCTTGCGATGGTTGCAACTGTCCACCTGGGATCGGAGCTTTGGAAAACCCACCGATAGTGACGTCACCGCCACTTAGTGGCGAATGGCGGGTGTTGTTGTCATAAGGAGAGTGGTAATGGTGAGTTTTACTGATTTTTGTGAATTCAATAACGACAAGGCCACAGATAACGGTGATGATGTCGTATGGAGGAGCAGCAATTTGCAGTACAGCATGACGTTAGCTCTCGCATGTGTTGTTCGACAGCGATGTCCGATGCTTCAAAAGCATCGCGGAAATTCCGTTCCCGTTCTTGGAGTAGCCCCCGGCACGTGGAGCGAAACGTCGGCACAGCGCGCGGAACAACGCGCCGCGGGACGACCCGAACAACACACGGGAGAGCCGTACAGCGCGACCGTGATATTAATTATAAAGGTTTTGGGTTGGATCGCGTAAATATAAACGTGTCGTTAACTCACCACCACCCGGCACAGACAGTTAGTAAGGTTTGTCCCGTGAACAAAGCGTGGCATTTGGTTACTACTCCAGCACATCGGTGTGATGGCGAGTAAACGTGGGACGTTTACAATCGAGTACGACGTTTCGCTCGTGATTACAACCAGCTTCACCAGGCGGTTTTCCAGAATTGTGTAGAAGTCTTCCAGATTCCGCTCTTAAATAGAACAAAGTGATAGTATCACTGTGAGCCTATCAGGTGCATAGATCAGAGGAGGGGTGGGAGGGGTTATTGCAATCATATACGATCGTAATACTCGGTGCCATCGCGGTGGTTGATCGTTCGCTATCCGGTCCAGAGCCTCCGTGGATCCGGAGTGGGTTTCAGGGATGTACCTTGAGGGGGAACGAGGGCAGGCGTTTGAGTTGTTGACCAGACGTCGCCCCGATGCCGACACGTGCGTTCCCGTAACTCTGTAACCCATCTCTGCCTCGTGGGTGCCCCCCCACCCCCTCCCCCCCACCCCCCCCCACCCCCTCCCCACCTCCACCGTGAAGCCGCCGCGTGTTTTGCCCCCTCGCGCACGCGGTTTGTTCCTTAACCGGAGCCACCCTTCGCCCCCCCCCCCCACCACCTCCTCCCCCCTCACAGCCTGGGCTTTACGCAGATCGTCACCATCGACATGCTGCGCGAAGCCTTCCCCCTTCTTGATATGGTGGACCAGAGCCGTAGGCCCAAGGAGCTGGTGAGTCGGCTGTCGTTTCGCTGTTGCTGAACAAGCTTTATTTTATTTTTTATTTTTATTTTATTATTTTATCACATTTTTTTTACGTGTTTATTTTGCTTCTATTTTACCAGGTAAGGCTCACTGAACTATGTAGCTCTTTTTTTCAGAAGCGACCTGGCTATCACAAATGATAGCACAAACAAGTGGATTATGTGGAAATGAATAGCAGCCAATATACCCTAAACGTGTGACGTTCATTCTAAATGTGGAGGGAAAAACCGGAGGACCCGGAGAAAAATCCACGCGACTACGGGGAGAACATGCAAACTGCACGTATACAGCCATCGGGATTTGAGAGTGAACCCATAACCTCCTGTATACCAGGCGAGGTAGTTAACATCTCCCCACTGGGGCATATATAGTGTGGCGTGCCAACCATGCCCCATCCCTGGCATGAGCCAATTGTTTTCCTAACCGGTAAATGAGAGGCCGTTGCTGCGTCAACGATTTCACGTGTGTACGAACGTTCCCAGAGTCTATTTTGAAACGACGAACGGATAAATTGTTAGACGACCAGTGGAGCCAGGGATGCGAGTGCCTGGCAGGCGCGTTTTTTTGCACCGCGGCATTGATGTCCGCACGTGCTGCGGAAGGTTGATTTGACCTCGCCGAGATGGGAAACCTGTGTCGGACCGCCACCCAGCAGTGATGTGCTTCACGTGCTCACCAGAAATTGAAGCACAAGTCGCCAGGATTACGTCACGGACACGCGTACGCGCGCGGTACCCGTGATGCGTTTTACTTGGCCGCTTGTGAGGATAATTACACAGCGGAGCAGATAGTTGCACGTGTGTATGTTGAACTTCACATACGTGATAGTGCGTTATCACATATCAGTCACTTTGTATTGTCACTTATAAAGAAACTGGAACCGCTAAACTTTAGCTGTGGCTGGGCATAAAGCTCAGGTCGGCATGTTCATCGCGCAGTGCTCTAACTGCACCGATGCTATCAAGTGCAATTCTTTTGAACTTCTGTATGTACGTTGAACTTCTTTCGCACTGTACGTAACCAACCGTGCTAATCGGAGGTGCGGGAGAAGGGCAACAAACAGCACAAAAAGCAATTTTGAAGAACTGAGTTTAAAAAAAAATTCTCAGCCGCTTGCCGACCCACTGCTGGATGAAGACGGCAAACATTTTTGTTTGACCGTGCTTCACCACTCTGGCCATGCGTGGGTTGGCGATGGCTTGGGGTTTAGATGTTCGGAGGAAAGTGGAGTAAAGGGCGGTCCCTGCTATTACGACGTAATGTGTTACTGGAAACCCTGTTGTAAATCGACCCCTATTTTAGCATAGACAACAGACACGGTAGAAACATCATTTGCCGATGTTTTTTTATCTGTTATCAGCCATATTTAACAGGGTTTAAAAGGTTGAAATCCAAAAAAAAACTTGAGTATGGCAAAAAAATCCACGCCAAGTCACGTTAGAAAACCATGGATTCATCTTCTTAGTTCTTTCGGTAAAGCCACGTAGAAGGGAAATAATAAAATAATAAAAATAAAACATAATACAATTCTCACGACGTTTCGGCCACAACGCAAGCAGCCGTCCTCAGGTGAAGAACAGAGCTGTCGGAAAGACAGCATCCCAATGTTTTTTAGGATGCTGTTCATTTGGACACTGTCTTTCCGACAGCTCTTTTCTTCACCTGAGGGACGGCTGCTTGCGTTGTGGCCGAAACGTCGTGAGAATTTTATAATGTTTTATTTTTATTAATTTAATATTTCCCTTCTACGTGACTTTACCGAAAGAACCAAGAATACAGACCGACTCTGTTAAAATGCATTTGGAGTCGTGTCGAAAGATGCGTCGTGTCGTTTCTGCGGCGTAATTTGATCCACGGCGGCGTTATATTAACACCGTGAATGTAGTTCGTTGTAAATCGGGCGCGTCCGACACTGGAGATGCCTGTAATGGGATCTGCTGGCGACATTGTTTGGTAATTTCGGAATATTTTACTTACAGTGTATTTTCTCTTCTTGTCTTTTCAGCCAACAACAACGCCTGATTTCCCAAAGATTGATGGTAATTTCAAGGCTGACACACAATAATAATACTTAGACATTTGTTTGGACCTGCACTTATTAAAAACGTGAATATTTCTCTCACGAAATAATTTTTAACACAAAACATGACCTATTCCATCGGTTCATATGTCAATATGCTATGACTTGTAATTTCCACTTGTTTGTTTTGTCTTTGAGATATGCCCACATTTCCAATGAAATATGGATTTTGCATAGCATCTAAATGTGCAATTCAAGTGTGCAATTTATTACCACGCTTGGCAGGATTCTACTTGTGTTTTTTTAACCGACCTCGGTGCTGTTTCTCAACCGATATGTTTGGTATGAGATGCGTTCTCCCAGCCTCGTTGTGCTGGATGTAATGTGCTGATGCACGACCTTGCCATTTGGAACTTGACCTCTACAGTTGTTTTTGGATTGTTCTGTTCATAATTTTTGCTTTAACCAGGTCGCCCTTAGGAAATGAGCGTTTATTTCCCAAAGGTTTTTTTGTTCTGACTTGCGCCAAATATTAACAGACAATGATGAATTCATGGAACCGCGTTTCATGATGCTGTACAGAAACAGTGGGCTAAGCTCGTCTATATAGAGGCAGTGAGTCATAGGAGGGAAGATTTTGAGCCTCTACTTTAATAGGGGCAGGGAGTCAACAGCACGGATGAGTGGGGGAAGAGAGTTCCAGACAACGAGGGCAGCAAAGGAGAATGAGCGATATCCCCACTGGGCAATGGTTGATTGGGGACTGCTCGGCAGTAGCTGTCTACTGGCTTCCTCTCGCAGCCCAGTGGATTTGAGAGTTTAACAGATCCCTGCCTAATCCACCAACCCTCAGCATGCCCCCGTGTGTATCTGTTCATGTGCGCGTCTGTGCGGGCGTGCATGCGATGTTGTGTTCAGTGGTAGTGTGGAGTGGTTCGCGCGCTGCGCTACGAACCCCGCGACCTGGGTTTGGTTCTGACCACGGCTAACCTCTGTGGCGATTGATAGATTGTTTATTGGCATCCGTGCTGCACCTCCCCTAGGTCGACGCAGCCTTAAATGAGTACCTGGTTCAGTGTATAAACATGAGCACTGCTTAGTTTGGGGGGGTGGGGGGGGTTGCGGCAGAGGTCGCAACTGGGTACCCAGTTGCGACCTCTGCCGGCGGTGGCGGGATCTTTGTTTCATTTTTGTATTGTTGTTTTTTTTTATTCTGACAAGAGCCCCGGTACAAAGCGCGAGCGATGAACAAAAGGGGTACGCAGGAATTCCGCGGAGGGACCTTTAAATTTCCCTTGAATCTTTTTTTGCTTTTTGCCACGACAGCGATCATCCTGTTTGGGGAGCCAATCCGGTGGGAGACGAACCTCCAGCTGGTGATGGACGTGCTGCTGACGGACGGGCGTCCCGGCACGGGCGCCCGCGCCGTGCCCCACCCCCATCTCCCGCTGCTCGCGTGCAACATGGACCTCATGTGGATGGCCGAGGCCAAGATGCCACGGTGACGATCCCAGATAATCGTTGGGGGGGGTTGCTGGGCGCTGGGTGGGCATCCCTCCCCCCACACCCGCGCCCACTCCCGCCTTGCGGGCATAGCTGCCCCAAGGGGTTAGGGGATTGCACAACGAGGGTGGAGCAATTCACTCTCCCGGCGAGATGGATTTAAACTGTCGATTCGATTCCAAGAATGGATTAGTATTAATCCACCGTGCCGATATGGTAACTACCTCGCCTGGTATGCAGGAGTTTATGGGTTCGATCCCAAGCCTGATGCCTGCTGTGTATTTTGAGTGTGCATATCTCTCTCCCCGTGGTCGCGTGGATTTTTTTCCGGGTCCTCCGGTTTTTACCTCCACATTTAGAATCAACCTGTGTTTAGAGTATTTCGCTGCTATGAATTCCCACACGATGAGCCACTTCGATTATTTGTGACCACGTCACTTCTGAAAAATAGCTCTATAGCTCAGTGGGCCTTAACTGATTAATTAGTAAATAGTATAACAATTTTTAGTTTTTACATTGTGGTGAATGGTAGCACCTTCGTGCGGCTGCAGGGGGTGAAGTAAACACAGTTCGTTCAACTTTGCAATGATGTAACAATACAATAATGCAATATAGAATAACAACAACAAAAATTCGCCGCCCTCTGTCAATCCACTTGTCGGACGAAGGCCTGGCCGTTCCTTGTCAGTCATTACGACTGTTTGGTCACGTTTCACGACGCTGGTCAGTGAGCGTTGGTCAAGGGGTGAGGGTCGGGTCGAGGAGCGGTAGTATCGTCGTTAGCGCGCCGCGCTACGAACCCGGCGACCCGAGGTCGATTCCCACTCATGGCCGGTCCTGGGCCTTCCCTAGGTCGACTCGGCCTCAAACGAGGACCTGGTGCAGTTTGTAAAATATCTTCACTGGGGAGACAGAAGCGTAGTGCTGCTCACCCACCCCTTCGTGTGCTGCGCTGGCCTTAATAGGTGCTCACCAACAGCATTTGCCCCGACTGTCTGTTAAAGCTACACAGGGTGTGTCGTCTTGGGTGGGTGGGCAGAGAGAGCACGTGATCGTCGCGCAGTGCGCTTACCACTTCGCCACCGCTCCCGACGCTACGATCGGAGCGGTCCACTCGCCGCGTCGTCGCCCCCTGAACGCCGTCGTCCCCCCTTTGCTTTGCGCGCCGCGGTGCCGCAGGTTCGGCCACGGCACGTTCATGGTGTGCCTGGAGAGCATCTACAAGAAGGTGACGGGCAGGGAGCTCAAGTACGAGGCCCTGATCGGCAAGCCGAGCGAGGTGACGTACCAGTACGCCGAGTACCTGGTGCGCACGCAGGCGCGCGAGATGGGATGGCAGCATCCGGTGGAGACCCTCTACGCCATCGGGTGAGCGGGAACCGCGGGGGCGTCTCTCTCTCTCTCTCTCGTCAGCTGGATCCTCGCGCCCCGCCCCCCCCGACACGCCACATTCCGTTTTAAATGATAAAAAATAGATATTTCACAAGGCCCTTACCTGCCCAGGCCCTCACCCGCCCAGGCTCTCACCTGCACAGACCCTCGCAAGAGCAAGCGGTCCCTTCCTCCCTCTTGTTGCCCCCTCCCACCCCCTCCCTCCCACCCCCTCCCACCCCCTGCTGCCCGTAACGTTTATTTATATTCGGAGTCTGCATATCTCTCTCTCCCCGCTTAACACGTAGGCTTTCGCGACCAATTTCATCCATAATATAGGTTTTTTGGGGTTAGATTTTTGGGTGAGATATGCTGTACTAGTAACGAATTGGAATGTTCTGTTTACGTGACAAACCTTACTAATGGGGTGTGTCGGGTGTTGGCGGGTTTAACGACACATTTTTTTTTTCTCCGGGTCTTCCGTTTTTTTCCCCTCCACATTTATAATCAACGTGCGTTTAGACTATTTGGCTGCAACTATACATTTCCACGTGATAAGCCACTATTGTTTGTGGCCAGATCGCTTATGGGAAAGATCCATTTCGCTCAGTGGGCCTTACCTGGTGGTTGTAAGTAAAAAAAAAAAAGTAATAATCCGTGAGCTGATTTCATCGCTTCTTCTCCTCCCAGGTGACTGTCCACTCCGCAATTATAATAAAACTAATGTAACATCCCTGGCCATCCCCGCACCCTCCCCGCTCCCACCATTCCCCCCTCGTCCGTCGGCAGCGATAACCCCATGGCGGACATCTACGGGGCCAACCTCTACAGCCGCCACCTGCAGCGGAGCCTGCGGGAGGAGCGCGGCGACCGGCAGGCGGTATCGGCGCGAGTGCAGGCCCGGGCTGCCGGAGGGCTGGCCGTGGCGCGCCCAGCACGTCCCGGCAGTGGCGGCGGCGGCCGGGACGTCGATGACGACGGCACGGCGAGGACGACGAGAGGGCACGCGATGCACGGAGCCGGGGAGCTCGTCGGAGCCACAGCCTTGGCGTGCCGCTCCATTCTCGTGTGCACGGGCGTGTACAGCCCCCACGCGCAGGTGCGTGCGTGCGCGAGTTGGTGTGTGTGTGTGCGAGTTGGCGTGTGTGTGTGTGTGCGCGCGAGTTGGTGTGTGCGTGTGTGCGTGCGCGAGTTGGTGTGTGTGTGTGTGCGTGTGTGTGTGTGTGTGCGTGAGTTGTGGGGAGCGGTAGTGTAGCGGTTAGCGTGCTGCGCTAGGAACCCGGCGACACGGGTTCGATTCCCGCTCACGGCCAACACCGGTGACGATTATCTGAACCGGTCCCGGGCCTCCCCTAGGTCGACTCAGCCTCAAATGAGTACTTGGTGCGGTGTGTAAACATTGCCACTGGGGAGACAAAGGCGGTCGGGCGTGGTGCTGGCCACCCACTCCTTTGTGTACCGTTGCGGCCTTCATAGGTGCTCACTAACAGCACTTGCCCCTACAGTCTGTTAAGGTTATACGGGGGATCTTTGTGAGTTGGTGTGTGTGTGTGTGTGAGTTGGCGAGTGTGTGTGTGTGTGTGTGCGTGTGTGCGTGCATGCGTGTGTGTGTGTGTGCGCGAGTTGGTGTGTGTGTGCGAGTTGGTGTGTGTGGGTGTGTGAGTTGGTGTGTGTGTGTGTACGTGCATGTGTGTGTGTGTGTGTGTGCGCGAGTTGGTGTGTGTGTGCGTGCGACCCGAGCTCGATTGCCGCTCACGGCCGCCAGTGACGATTATTTGAACTGGTTCTGGGCCTCATCTAGGTCGACTCAGCCTCAAATTAGTACCCGGTGTGTGGCGCCGCGGTGGCGAGTCGTTAACTACCGTGGGTTCGATCTTGACTCTGACACCTGTATATTTGAAGTTTGCATGTCTCTCTCTCTCTCCCCGTGGTCGTCTGGAATTTTTCTCGTGTTTTTCCTTCCACGTTTAGAATCGACACGCGTTTAGAGTATTCGGCCGTCATAAATGTCCACGCGATAAGCCACTCCGTCGAGCTATCATTTGTGAGAGCTCAGGCCGCTTCTGAAAACGAGCTACGCAGCTCAGTGGGACTTTGTTTTCGGATTGTTCTGTTCATGATTTTTGCTGTAACCAGGTCCCCCTTAGGAAATGAGCGTTTATTTCCCAAAGGTTTTTTTTGTTTTGACTTGTGCCAAATATAAACAGACAATGATGAATTCATGGGACCGCGTTTCATGATGCTGTACAGAAACAGTGGGCTAAGCTCGTCGATATAGAGGCAGTGAGTCATAGGAGGGAAGGTTTTGAGCCTCTACTTTAATAGGGGCAGGTAGTCAACAGCACGGATGACTGGGGGAAGAGAGTTCCAGACAACGAGGGCAGCGAAGGAGAATGAGCGACATCCCCACTGGGCAATGGTTGATTGGGGACTGCTCGCCAGTAGCTCTCTCCTGGCTTCCTCTCGCAGCCCAGTGGTAAAATAAAAATTGTTTCGTTTCATCGTTTAGAACGCCGGCACTTGGGAGACAAAGGTGGCCAGCCGTGGAGTTGGCCGCACGTGTCCCACCCGTCCCCTGAAGGGTTTTCTCACCGTGCGCCCCCCCCCCCCCTCCAGGTGCCGGAGGACCCGGCGGAGGCGGTGAAGGAGACTGTGTTCCACGGCCACCGTGACTTCCGCTTTGACCCGGAGCTCGTGGAGCCCACCTACACCGTGGAGGACGTCGACGCCGCCGTCGACCTCGTGTTCCGCGAGGAGAATTTCACCCTCGCTTGATCGAGCCACGCTGCACCCCCCCCCCCCAATGTGCTGCCCCCAATGCTGCCCCCACGCTGCCCCCTTACGCTTCCCCCCCACGCTGCCCCCTCACACGAACCTCAAGCTCCCCACACGCTGCCCTAACCATGTTCTCAACATTGCCCACACGCTGACCTCATGCTGCCCCCCACGCTGACCGCACGCCGCTCGCATGCTGCCCTCGCGCAGCTCCACACTGCCGTGGGCGACTTGGATGATCCGATGGCAGCATCCGGTTCCATCTCCACCCAGTCGCCCCCCTACTGGCATACCGACGCTCGGGCGCAGGCCGGGGCTGCGTTCACCCTCACGCCGCACAAAGACAGCTGCCACTGGAGATGTCCCCCCCGGGGGCCCCCCTGGGCGAGACGGCGGTCTCTGCAGCGGGGGCGTTGGAACGGTCGAGATGACGTCACGCGCCGAGGCCTTTAGCCTGAGCGTCGCCAAAGAAACGCAAACCCTTGTCCGAGGTTGACGGAGGGAGGGAGCGAGCGAGCAATTCCGGCGCGGCAGGCGCTCGCTCGTTCTTGTCGCAACGAGAGCCGCTGTGATCCTCGCCGAATACCGGAGAGCACCCCCCCCCCCTCTCCCACAGGGTCGCCTGGGTCGTAGCGGCACGCTGCGCCCGTATCGCGTCATCTCCCCGCGTAAGCGACGAAACGTTGCGAGTCCCGGGGTTTCGTTGGAAGAAGAAGCTTGAAACAAACGTGGACCCCCCCCCCCCGTGTGGTGATGATGTCCCGAAGGCTCGGACAAGCGAGAAGGGCCGAAGAGGTTCCGTCTCCTTGATGTTGTTCATCGTTCTTCCGCGCTTGTAGCGTTCAGCGTCGCCGCAGCTGAGAGCGGCGACGTAGCACGGTTGGCATGGGCCCCCCTCCCCCCCCGTGCAAGAAATTAAATGTTGGGGGGGGGGGGTTCCGTTGCCCAAATTTCCCCAACCGCGCCCCCCTCTAGCGTAACCCCCCCCCCTCCTCCGGCCCGTGAACCCCAGAGTGCGGTTGCACCGCATGCACGCTCGTCGCTTGCTAGCGCTACTGGGCGCTAGCTGGCCCTACCTAGCGCTAGGTAGCCCTACCTAGCGTTCTAAACTACTCGGTAGCGTTAGGTAGGGCTCCCGGGCGGGCGGGAGGGGAGGAGGGGGTACGTGAGAGCTGTTCCCACGTGGAGCCCAGCGTGTCGCGGAGTCACGGTTTCGTCGTCTCTCGTGTTACGATGTTAATTTATGCGCATGCGTCACGCGTGCACGTGTACATACATACGTGTCTATCTGTCTGCTGCTAGATGAGCTGTATATTTCCGCATGCGCATCAACCGCACACCCCACCGCCACCCCAAGTCGTCAGCGGAGAATGTCGCATGTCGCGCAAAACGCACGCGTTGTCTTTGCGGTTCGGGTCCCGTGCCTCGCGCTTCTCTCCGCCCGTCCGTCCGTTCGTTTGGGGACTCGGCACGGCGACGGTGCTGCCAAAGCGCCGTGCCTCGTCGCACCACCAACGTGAGGTCCGGCACCTTCTTGGCTCTGCTACGTCAACGTCCGTTGACAAACTCAGCATGTTGAGTTTGCTGCATGTGCGTGTGTGCGCGTGGGCATGTGGATGACGTAGCGGTCAGCGCGCTGCGCTAGAAACCCGCCGGCTCGAGTTCGACTCCCGCTCACGGCCACCAACACCAGTGACGATTATCTGTAGCTGTTCTGGACCTCCCTTGGGTCGACTCGGCCTCAAATGAGTACCTGGTGCGGTGTGTAAACATCGCCACTGGGGAGACAAAGGCGGCCGGGCGTAGTCGTGGCCAACCCCCACCCCATCGCACGGTGTCGGCCTTCCTGGGTGCTCGCTCACAGCACTTGCCCCAACGGGGGGGGGGGGGGGGGTTAATCTTTGTGCGTAAGTCGAAGTGAGTCGATTATTTTCTCGTGCGTTTCGTGTGTGTGAGATGGGGAGTCGAGGGCGCGCCTTGTACGTTTTTTTGTGTTTGTTTTACGTTTCTCGTGCTGTATGTGAAAGTTCGCCTCGCACATTCGTCGTCTGGTGACGGTGCAGCAGCAACAACAACAACTATAATGAACCACTGACTTGAGGATGTGTATCTCTCTCGCTCTCTGTCTCTCCCGTGCGCGCCGCCGTGGATGTAGCGTCCTCTGCGTTCCTCGTTATTTATAGACGCGCGTGATCTGTGTTCGGCTCGGGTGTTTTATATCGTTTTAACCGCACGAAGCAATACGGGAAACTCGCACTCCCTTGCGGATGTACTCGCATCAAGCCTGACGAATTAAAATCCTCGCATCCGAACCGACGCGCGCAGTGTTCGCTCCGTCTGTTTCTGCCAGGAGGAGTGTTGGTCGAGGTTTTACAACTTGAACTCCTCTTAATACCCGCGATGTCAATGACCCCCTCGCCTCCTTTCTCACCCCACCCTTCAAGAGCACCTCCCAACAACGGCAGCTGCTTTGCATTACACTGGTCAACACACTTTCTGGCATAAGGTATTCCAACGGGTTTAATGTAATTTTGGGGTGCTTAAACCAAATCTGGCATCAGTTTTTGTCTATTACATCAGGTTGTTGAGATATCAAATATTGCATTTTCAATAAAAACTGCAGAAGAAAAATAATAAATAAATGTGGATATCTACATAAAATGATATAAACACAATCCTAAAAATATAGCACCATATTTTAACACTAAAGCAGTCACTGATTCGCAACAACTTGCAATCATAAGTGACAGTTAATTTCGGGTAAAATCAATGAAAATGGGGTATGCCGATAGCATAAAATGAGATGTGATAGAGCAAATCTGAGATCAGGTTTGGAATCGGCACCCTGAAATTAGTCTAAAACAGCTGCAAAAGTCCAGGCCAGAAAAAAAATGTTTTTTTTGTTGACCAGTGTTATTAAATGATCGTCATCATCAGCTGTAATGGTTAACAGTTAACACGTTTCTTGATATTAGAAATGTAGTTTAACACGGAGGCTTTCACGACCAATATCCATAATCAAGGTGTTTGGGGTTACATCGCATAAATATAAATGTGTCGTTAAACCCGCCACCACCCGACACAGCCAATTAGTAAGGGTTGTCACGTAAATAAAACACGCCAGTTAGTTACTAGTTCAGCACACCGGTGTGTTGGAGAGTAAGCTCGCAACGTGTAATCACCAGCGAAACGTCGTGCTGAAATGAAATTTCTATTTACGCGATATATCCCAAACAACCTTTATCATTTTTCGATTCAAAGCTTTCGTGACTGCAGGGATTCATCTTCTTGGTTCTTTCGGTAAAGTCACGTAGAGTGGAAATAATAAAATAATAAAAATAAAACATAATAAAATAATTCTCACGACGTTTCGGTCACAATGCAAGCAGCCGTCCTCAGGTGAAGAACAGGTCTGTCGAGAAGACAGAGTCTGAATGTCTTCTCGACAGACCTGTTCTTCACCTGAGGACGGCTGCTTGCGTTGTGGCCGAAACGTCGTGAGAATTATTTGATTCTTTTTATTTTTATTATTTTATTATTTCCATTCTACGTGACTTTACCGAAAGAACCAAGAAGATGAATCTTTATCATGGTTGTTATTATAACAGCTGGGGGGGGGATGGGGTGGTGACGATGGGAGTGAATTCCAAAGCGCAGCAGTGCGGAGGAACAAGCAAACACACCACGAGCGAGCGAGAGAGAAGTGAGGAGGCCTGCACTCAGCACCAAACAACCACCGCGTCCACAGCGCAACCACCAACGCAACCACGACACCACCACAACAACCACGACACCACCACAACAACCACGACACCACAACAACAACCACGACGACTGAAACCAATTCACCACGACGACACCGCCAACGCGGTTGTCCCCGCGGCAACCAGCCAGGGCCCCCCAAGTCATAACATTGTCACGGCTGGACGGGATCAATCGTACTCTTAGTTCTTTTGGTAAAGTCACGTAGGTAAAAAATGAAATTAAAATAAATAATAAATAAATAAAAAATAATAAATCACAGACGGTCCCACCTGATGACGGAGACTTGTGTTGCCTCCGAAACGTCGTGATTTTTTTATTATTTTATTTTTTATTAATTTTAATTTCATTTTTCACCTACGTGACTTTACCGAAAGAACTCAGAGTATGAATCCTTGCAGTCACGAAAGCTTCAAATCTAGGGATCAATCGTGTTGACCAATCATCATCAGCATCGACCGACCTATTCACTCAGCACTTGCTGTACGGCAGTGTTCTTCACTCATTTTCAGAGGGGTGGGAGCACTTTGGCCGATACATTTGAAAACTTTGTTGGGGGTTGACAGCAGCATGACTGATGTGGGAGGAGATGCCAGGGGCCCGCGGGCCTTGCGATGAAGAACGCTGATTGTACGTTGAACTGCTTTCGCATCGTACGTAGCCAACGGTGGCAATCGGAGGTGCGGGCGGTCAGGGTGCCAACAGTAAACACGAAACAACCCCCCCACAATCTTTGATATTTTGACTTGAAGCTTTCGTGACTGCAGCAATTCATTTTCTTTTGGTCTTTCGGTAAAGTCACGTAGATCGGTTGCAATTGACCTCAGACGCGTGTGCATCCAACGCGAAGCACTAGCAAGTGCAAATAAACATATACAAACATACATTGTGTCCTCTCTGCAGGGGTCGGTGAGCGGAGTTTGATGTTGGATGGAGGGGGTTGTGCAGAAGCGGCTCTCTTCCGAGTTATGATGTCCCCAGAGGGCCGGCCCTCCCCTCTCTGCTCTCTTGAATTCTCACCTCGCTAAACAAACTAAAAGCGGGTTACTTTCTCTGTGTTAGAGGTCACGGACTCACTAGAGTTTGTGTACTTGCCCAGAAGCTATAGAACGTTCGGTGAATGTTGGTTAGGGTCAGGGCTAGGGTCTGGGTGGCTAGTGTGGTTAGTTCTAGATTTGAAGTTTTCGTGACTGCAAGGATTCATGCTCTGTTTTTTTCGGTAAGGTCACGTAGGTAAAAAATTAGAGGCACACTTAGAGACACACTTAAGCGGTGCGCTTTCGCTAAGTTGTACACACCTGAGGAAGGACGCTTGTGTTGCGCCCGAAACGTCGTGATTTAATTTACTTTATTTTTTTACCTACGTGACTTTACCGAAAAAACCGAAGAGTAGTGTGGTTAGGGCTATGGTCTGGTTAGTGTGGTTTGGGCTAGAGGGGAGAGATACTCGATGGGGTAGCTTGTTCTACCCGCTCACAGTATTCCGCACCTCTGGGTTACTACAAGTGTTTATTTATTTATTTGTTTTCAGTGTGCGTGGCTTTCTCTCCTGGCATTGATACAGAGCATTTATTTCCACCTTAAAACAAAATAAATGGGAAGGGGAATTTGTGAAACCTCCCAAGGCCCCCTCTTAATCGCGTGACCTCTTTGGCTGAACCACAAGGTGTCGCTACAGGCTCAGCGGCACTCAGCAGACGAAGAACCCCCCCCCCTCTCCCCCTTGTAGCCTTGTCGGCTGCTCGGACAAGTGTTGTGAGCGAGCTCATATTGATGGCCGCAGAGCACGGCTAAACAGTGACTGTGGCCAGACACCACGCCTCACTACTGGTGATGTTCACACACGCACCACCAGCTACTCATTTATTGTCGAATCGACGCAGTGGAGGAACAGGGCACGTTCAGATATTACTCGCCACTGATGTTAGCCGTGAGCAGGAATCGAACTAAGGTGTCAAAGGGCACAGTGCAGTGACCGGACTCTTGTTTCATTCAACGCAAAGAAGACGAGCATCACCCCGCGTAAGCCTTTCACAGGCTGGACTACCAACAACAAGGCAACTCCTATGACTAATTGGGAATGGGACGCAAGCGTAGGATTGATCACCCTGTCGCTGGCCGCCTTTGGGGAGGGTGTATAGTATGAAAGGACGAAACACCCTAGGAACCGAAGGGTCACTACTGACGATGCGCTCCCCAAATTTCACCAGGCTCACTGTTCATGAACTCTTGGAAGTGCTTGCACAAAGGATAGTAACATCTCATCCTGTGTTCTTTGGAATATGAGCACCTCTGAAGACCTTCACTGTGCACGAGGGGGGGGGGGGGGGGGGGGGGGTGTGGCCAGAACACACAAAGACAAAGATAACCCGTATAGCCTCAGCAGACTGTTGGGGGCAAGTGCTGTCAGCGAGCACAACACGCGTGCACGCACGCACGCACGAACGCACGCACGAACGCACGAACGAACGCACGCACGCACGAACGCACGCACGAACGCACGCACGCACGCACGAACGCACGCACGCACGCACGCACGCACGAACGCACGCACGCACGCACGAACGCACGAACGCACGCACGAACGCACGCACGCACGCACGCACGCACGAACGCACGCACGCACGAACGCACGAACGCACGCACGCACGAACGAACGCACGAACGCACGCACGCACGCACGCACGAACGCACGAACGCACGCACGCAAACACAGACTGGACATCAAACACCGATTATGTCTCTCAGCTCGTGACGACCGCTGTGAACTTTAATTTGACATTTCTGAGCAACGTTGCATCATTCGCAGCGCTCGTAGAAGGCGAATAACACCAGGCAGTAATGATGTGTGTCGGGTCGAGCGGTGGCGCACTGGTTAGCGCACTGCGCTATGAACCCGTCGACCTGAATTCGATGCGATTCCCATCAGTGGCGAGTGATAATTGAAACCGGTTGTTCACCACCCTCATCTATTCGCCCATTCGCGTTCACCGGCGTGGTGAAGTATAGTCAAGCAACGTCCCCGTGTGGCCGATACGGTGTGGGGAGGCCTTTATCCAGCAGTGGATTGATTCGATGTTGAGAAATGCTTGTGTTGCCCTACGGTTATCGGACGAACAATACTGTACTACGCAAACATTCATATTCTTTGGGTCTTTCCGTAAATTCACGTAGATAGGTTCAAATAAAAAAAATTGTAGTAATAATAAAAATCTACAGACAATAGTTTTTTTTTGTTATTTTCTTTGAACTTATCTTCGTGACTTTACCGAAAGACCCAAAGAATATGAATCCCTGCAGTCACGAAAGCTTTAAGTCAAAATTTACGCAAACATTTGTTTCACGATCTCAGCAGTGACGTGTTTGTTCGCCACGCAGTGTGTTCCGCTAATCGTGGTGACAATGGTCTTGAAGTTTATGAGGATTATGTGGTCATGGTCCTGATTATAATCTGCGGGAGCGGTGGGGCAGTGGTTAGCGTCATGTGCTACGAGCCCGGCGACCCGAGTTCAATTTCCGCTCACGAGGAATTACAGTGGCGAATATTTCATCGC